CCCCCCCCTCTGGGTGGGGAATTCTGGGAGTTGAGTCCACTCATCTTAAAGTGGCCAAGTTTGGACAACACTGCATTAAGGTAATGTCGGTCCCTTTTTATTCTCTGTTCCCCACCAAATTAACTTTGGTTTGCATTATCTCTGCTTTCCCAGAAGCTCTCATCTTGTTGGCATGATATGCTGCTTGGGTGGTGCAGAGATGAAGGCTGACAAACCAATGCTAGATCCTTGCTAGGAGTTATTGAACACTTGTTAGTGTGCATCTCTTCCTGGGGCTTCAGACTGACCTGAGAGGACCCACTTTTTATGCTGTGTGCACCAGTCAATGCTGCCAAGGTACTTTTGGGGGTGGAGGGAGGGATTTGAGTGTTTAATAAAAGCTTATTGTAAAATCTGCCTCAGCTCTCTTCTATCCAAATGTTGGCTTTTTCTCTTCCTCCTGTTCATTTCTGCTCACCATGAAGGTTTATCCTTCATTCCGCTCAAATGAAGATTGTGAGAAAGCAGTTAAGCATATTTTATTTAACATGGAAAAATACAAACACACGTTGGCTTAAGGAACTAAACACTGAATATAATGCTATTCCCTCTATCCCATTACAGGATTTCTCTTGATCCACTCTCCTCCCCCCACCCTGTTTCCCTGATTAATGTGAGATTGACATTGCTACGAACTTGTCTCTCCCATACTAAAACTAAAGCTTGCTCCTCTTCTATCTCCATCCTTTCCTAGAGGAAAAGAGCAAAGTTATTTAACCGGGCTAACAACAACCACACTCATAGGTGAAACAATATCTCCCTCAGGGTGAATTTCAAAATGATTTTAAGATACCACAATACCCTGACTGGAGGTCAGGGGGAGTAACATTGAAGAAAAAAAAGCTTAGGACAGCTGTTTGCTTTCCAAGCCTAGGTGTATCATCATTCCATTTGCTTTTCCAGAGTGAGGGGTAACAATGAAGGCACTGTTTTTTCCCTGATTGGTTTTGGGGTGGACTGCAGCCACCTCAACGGCCTTCACCTTCACTCTCTCTTGATGTGACCCTAAGGCTTTGTTCCATCTTCCGTAATGCAAGGAACCGCCAAATTACTCGGCGCCCATCCGTCAGTCTCCGTATCCTCATCGACATTGCCATGGTGTCCAGAACCTGAATAGCGTGACAAGACTCAGAGCTGGGGGGAAGAGAAGGAGAAATGGTGAGCAACATGTGGGGTGGGCACAACTCCTTCCTAGGGAAAAAGAAGAATATGTCAGGCTTTCACATGAAGTCCAAATGGCTGATAAAAATAGTTTAGGAGATCAAAAATATGTTGCTTTCAACGTGGTTGCATCTCCTCCACCTGCAAGGAAAGCAGCCGCTCTCAGCTGCTTTCTACCAGTTCGTGTCAAGGAACAACCATTTGGGATAAAACTTCCCCTGACATAAGGGCAGCCATTTATTCTGGCCATGCACTGGCTTCTCACCTGCATGTTTTCATTTTTTGGAGGCTGTCACCTTCCGCTTCTGCTCTGTGCGTTGCAGCTTCAAGACGATCTTGCGCTCATGGCCACCAGGATTTGGGCGATTCGTATGATCCTCAGCCTCTTTCTTGGTACGGCCTTTGCGTGAAGAGCCACCTAGGGATACCCCACAACATTTAATTACTCAGCAGGCTTGCCTGTTGTTCTGGTGGGGAAGCCATTGACGCTTGGTCTTGTATAATCCAGCACAGACAATCAGTAGCTTACCAGATGTTGCTGAACATCAACTCCAGCCTCTCTCCCTATTTGTCATGCAAAGTAGGACTGGTAGGGGTTGAACGTGAATATCTGGAGAGTCACAGGGTGCCTATCCCCGATCTACGGTATGGTTTAGCCTCTTGCCTTTATGCTATATGATGTGGTCACTACAGCAGTATCTGCATCTTCCTAGTCAGGTACACACCTAGCAGATGTCTCACTTAGACAACCAGCAATTTTATCTTGCTCTCTTGGTGTGGCATATTTTGGATGTCTTTAAAATGTGCAGAATTGCCCCTTATTTCTTCAGGCGAGGCAGAACCTCCAGTCTCTCAGCTTTGCCCTCCATGTAGTAGCTGAGGTAGCATAGCCATGATGGGTTTTAACCCTTATTCACTGGATAAGCCACAAAGGTTCTGGGTTTACAGATAACTTAAAATAACGGCTAGGTTTTCACTACATGTTGAATCAGAACCCAACAAATCACTTTAAGGAGAGCTTCATGTGATGTGCGAACCCTGTTGCGTGGGGGTATCCGTGGGGAACAGCAGTGTCAAAAAAGTCAAAATGGCAGCCATCACAGCACAATCAAAGCTGCACTGTTTTTTACATGCACTGCATGTCGCCTTTACTTCATTTATTCCCTTTGCAATCAGTGACCACTTGAAAAAACCTTTTCTTTTCACAGTTCGTCTTAGTAAGTAAAAACTAAGAAACTTTATTAAAAAAAAAGAACTTTATTCTTTCATAAAGAATAACTTTGGTTCATAATCTTCAGGCCTCATGAAAAAGTGTTTTGGCTCTGCTGAGAAATATGGCTCCGTGTCTGCCAAGACCAAATTCTAAGGGAGTTATTTTTAGAGTCTCTGGTTGCCAAACTCTGCAAGCTAATGCTGATTCCAGGCTATCCTTTTAGGAAGGAAAATAATAGCTTTGTGCAGAAAATTTCCTCTAGAGATGAGTTGTCAGGGCTTGTTCTTGGTCATATGGAGGCCTGTACCTAGGTGGAAAATCTGGTTGGAGCACTTTCTGATGGACACCTACAGGTGATTTTTCTTTGGCTTCTTTTAAACAGCATGAGCAAATTCAGGAAGCTATGGCTTAAAAAAGGACTGATGGGATGAGAAAACAGGCTGATTAATCTTTTTTCTAGTGGTTAGGAATTTGGCCACTTGGACGCTCAGCCAGTTACTTTTTTTTTTTTCCAGCCACAAGAGCGAAAACATAATTATGTATTTATTCTTAGCAAAGGCATGCTTGCCAATCATTGTGGGAATCAGGTGCCAGGCACACACACACGTGCGCGTAAGCAGTGCCAGCAGAGTGCATGCGTGTCTGTGGGTGTAAGACCAGTGTGGGACTTTTAACAGTTTGTAACTGAGTAAGAGGAAATACTGACTAAATCATTTGGTTAAATAACCCACAATGGCCGGATTCACACAACACATTACTGTAACCAAATCCAAGAATCTGGAGCATGTCCTAGTTCACAGATTTTGTTTAGCCATGGTTTGTTCAGCAAACCATATAATCGTCAGATAGCGAAGTCAGCCACGGGTGACTGGCCCACAAGGTTTCATAAATAGTTTAATATGGATTATTATAGGAGGATTTTCAACCACCTTCTTGGTGTATAGGGGAGCTGCGAGTATCTTTCACGTAGATTAGTAATATGTTTTAAGCACTCTTTGCAGAGATTCCCGTTTCTGTGGTATGGGTGTGATGTTCATTACATGCGTGAAGGTGAAATCTGACGTATTCCGGATTAATAGGTCATGCCATATTAATAGAGTCTGCAAAGAAGCAACCTCGGGAGTGGGAGCGATTAAGATCTAACCATAAGCATGCGATGCAAGCCACGATGATGTAATGGTGCGCCTGACGTCACGTATCCCCCTTGCCACGCCCCGCGGGTACCCATACTCAACATTAGGCGATGCCACGTCCCACCTGGGAACGCCCAGACTGCTCCAGTTTCTTTGCCCTTTGCTAGACTCGATTCTCCTCCCGCTTAAAACCTTTCCTTTTTCATTCTAATCTGCTTTGATTCCCACCCCCCCCCAGCCCCCCCAGCGTGGAGTGGCCCTATCTCTGGAGCCCCTGCCTGGCAGCTGTGCCCGCGCACCTACCGCTGTATCTGTCGGTCAGGCTGTAGAAATCGTACTGGTCGAAATATTCCACCTCGAAAGGGGTCGGGCGCAGCTTCTCAGCTTGGACGAAAGAGGTGGACATGACGGCCAGTCTCTCGCTGCCAAACGGCGGAGAAGAAGAAAACAACCAGGACGATCGGGAGCTCGCAGCGCCAACTGATTTTTCAAGTTTGTTTGTTTGGGGGGGGGACTGTGTTTCTGTGTATATACCTCTCTCTTTCTCCAAGGACGCCCACGATGGCGTCAGCGTTTCCCACCCCTTAAAGCCGCAGGCAGCAGGACAGCCCAGCTGATGCAATTGCTGAAAAACAGACGCCGGGCCAGCCGCGCGCTGGGGACGGGGTCGTTCCGGTGCCTTTCCCGCGGCTCAGACCACCGCCCTCCGCGTACGGCTGAGAATAAAGCCCATTCTCGGCAGACGTCTTTAGGGCTTCATTAAGACCTTGACTGACACAACGACAACATGCTTCCAAAAAGCAAAGATCCCTCCGTAAGGCCCACACAAGGAACACCAACAGTTAGACAACGCTACTGTAGAGTTTCTGGTTCTGTGCGTTGTGTGGATTTGACTTGCAAATCAATGAGACAAACTCCCCCCCATGCTGCCGTGTTTAGGCATGTACCGAACGAGACAACCTCCTTTGGCTGTTAACTGCCTTTGGTGAAAATTGAAATCACTCATCGCTTTCTCAATATGTATTCACCATTCTTTAATGTGGGCTACTCCCTTGTTAAGGGGAAGGGGCTGGGAATAGAGGAGGTGGCCTTCCAGAAGGGTGGCTTGGTTAGTTTGTGGAAGCAAAATCAGCTAAAAAAAATATGGTGGCACCTTTAACAAAATTATTCCACTTCCCTGTTCTGTTTTCAAAAGTACTGTACATGCGAAAAATAGGTTGTGAACCACAAAAGCTTTGTGGTTAAACTTCATTAGGTAATAAAAGTTTTTAAGTTGCCTTATACTGAAAAGCATGCATTGGATTATCTCTCTGGGCACCGAGTTTGGGCTTTTGAGCCTACCATATTCCCATTCATTGCAGTACTCTTGCAAAATGATGTTCATAATCTGCATTTTAGATGTTTTATAGACTGTGGATGCCACTACAGTGATTAATCTGTACTCCAGAGCGGTGCTTTTCATACTCCTGGCCCTATGCGCTCAACAATGCAGAAAACTTCACTCTATCTATGATGAACTACAACTCCCATCTTCCTGTCACTGGACTGCTAGATGGGAATGGTGGTGCTTTCAATCCAAGTCATCTGGAGAAACCATCTGGAAGAAAAGCTGTTGTAGAAAAATAGGTTGGGCTTTTTAAAAAAAAAAATCTTCTGAAAATTTAAAAACTTTCCACAGAGACACGCCCACACAGAAGCTAAACTAAAACAGAAGGCCTCCCTGATCCCATCATAGACTCCTTGGCACAGCAACATCCTTGTTTGAGCTGTCTGCCTTTTGTTGTGACAGTCCTAGTCACTAGGAGTGTCTGCCCCATTTGTACTTCACAGTCCCCCTGGACAGGGCCCCCTCATCTGCTGCTTTTGTTTACATTTTCCACTGGCTATTAAGACATTTGCCCTGGTTTGGACTGTGTCCAAGACATACAAACAGATGGAATCACAAGGACAGGCTGAGTCAATGTTATTGCTAAACTCCAAGGTGACTTACTCTGTATTTCTCTCTCTTCAAACACCGTCTTTTCTCAACCACCTCCATCAGGAACTTTTCAGCAATAAATATTCATTACTGCTTTCTGTAGCCTAGGTCTTCATTTGGACCCATCAAATCTGGGTGTAATTTTAAGACATCATTAATGGTCCCATCAAAAGATAATTTGTGAGGTGTTAGCTTCTGAAGTCAACAGAAATCTAGAGCCCGGGGACACATTTACTTTGTTCCCAGTGCAAAACAGACATGATGCATGGATTCCTTTATTACATATCTGAACAAACAAACAGTTCAATCAGGCACAGGGAAAGAAGAAAGGGGGTCATTTTTAGCAGATAGAACATCTACCTGGGAGAATGAATGGTAACTTCTGATACCCAAACATTCCCTGATTTCTTCTAAATCTCTCCACGGAGCTGCTGTTGCCCACATAATAGAAAAAAATGGAAAGGTATTGGATGGCTTACAGCTCTTTTGTAGCTGAGAGGGAGTCAAATTAGATATCTGTAACTGCAATTGCTGTTCCACATGGCTGATTTCATACAAAGTGGACCCAGCCAATGTATGGCCACCTTCAGTGGGAGACCAGATTGCTGGCATTCTCACAAACAATTCCAGTACCAAAAAAGACATTTAGACATGGAAAAGGAAGGAAGCAAGCATTTAATAACATTAAGATCTACACTCATTCAAGATTATTTCTCTCCAGTTCATATCATTCTATCAAAAGAAGAAGAGGATCTGCCCTTTTGCACAACTTCTCAATTGGGCATCCAGGAAGGCCAAAAAAGGAAAAATGGTGGCCACTATCATGTGATTGAAGTTCTACCCTTTTTATACATGTGTCACATCTGCATGTAAAAAGAGGTGAGGCTTCAACTGTAGTTGCAGCCACCATCTTGACATTTTTGACCCTGCGTGGATACCCACTACTGATGTTTCTGCATAGCTATATATGCAACTTTGTATGGAATACAGCTCTGTGCATAAAACCCTGTGTGCCCAAGCGAAAGTTTTTTTGACTTCAGTAGTATAATTTGAAGAAGGGGGGTTATTACTGTTGGTAAACAACTGGTTGTCAGAAATAGGTGCTGATCATGCAGAGATCTGTTGCTAGGTGCTGATCTAGCTACTGCTCACCCATATTTAGGTCTACACTTGACTTAGTGTGAAGACCACATTTCAGTGTGCCATCTCCATGTGAATACAGTTCATCTAAAGCAGTGTTTTTCAAACTCGGCAACTTTAAGACGGGTGGACTGCAACTCCGGGTGGCAACTTTAAGATGGGTGGACTGCGGGGTCAAAAATGTCAAGATGGTGGCTGCAACTGCTGCACTGGCTGGGGAATTTGGGGAGTTGCAGCCCACCCATCTTAAAGTTGCTAAGTTTGAAAAACACTGATCTAAAGAGAAGTGGGGTGCACAGGTGTCTCCATACTTTCCTCTACCCAATTAGGGGAAGAGATACCATCAGATAATGGATCCCAGACATTTACTGCTTCTTAATCAGGAGACAGTACACAAAGATAAGAATTCTAGCTTGGCAACAGTAATTCAAACACTGAGCCAGTCAACAAAATTACATTGGGTATTTGGCAAGGCATTGGTTTATAACTTTTCTGTTCTTCTCAGAATATGTGAAAGTGCCTTAGAGAGCCTTTTATAGAAGATTTTCATGGTATAATATCTCTTTACTGACAAAGCAGAAGATGGGGGAACCTCCAGATAGTTTTAAGGCAATATCAAGCCTCCAAAAGCAGGTCTCTGAAGGTTCTTCCTGCTAGTGAGCTGCAAAACTTAAATCTTTCAGTGGTGGTTGCATTCAAAAGTGTTCCCCTCAAATTCTCTCCTGGAACAATTGGTCCAGGTCCACAGTCTGTGATCCTTAATACTTATTTAAGCAAGATTTTCTACTATTAAAGCTTCAAAAATTGAAATACGTTAGGGATTACCTTATCCAAAATGACTGTTTGTTGAGAGAGCCTGTTTAAGGTTCTACCTCTGTGAGTGGTCTAGAAAACAGGCTTTTCTGTGGTTGTCCCACGTGTGATGGAAGATGCTGCTCCCGGAGGTGTGCTTAGCCCCTTCATTCAAGGTGCTCTGGAAAGCATGGAAAACCTTTAAAAAACAGGCATCTGACACCAAGGTGATGATTATTGGGCAACCAATGTATTAGTTATGTTTTTATTGCTAGTCTTCCTCAAAAGGTAGGACCCAATTGATTGGAGTTTCTGTCTGGAGGGGCGTAAGGTATATTTGAGTTAACCCTATGGGTTTTTTCCTGTTTGCTTTGTTTGTTGATTGCATGCAGAGTCATAATTGTTCAAGTAGGGCAGCCTTATAAATTTCCTAAATAAATAAATAAAATGGGGAGGGGTACTTCTGTGAGTTGCTTCTTTTATGTCAATAGTGCATTGTATACTGCCCAGCGCCTTCCAAATGGATGCTATAAAAATAAAAAGGAAGGAAGGAAGGAAGGAAGGAAGGAAGGAAGGAAGGAAGGAAGGAAGGAAGGAAGGAAGGAAGGAAGGAAGGAAGGAAGGAAGATTGCTGTTAAGCAGTTGGTTCTGCAGAAGTCTGATGGAAGCTGTCCTTGGACACATCTGGAGGCTTTGGCAAAGCTAGCCTAAATAAAACATGGTTTCCTTTTGTACCACCTGACAATGTTCAGAATACAGGGAAATCCAAGCTCCATTTTATAATCAGTGCCTGCAGTGGTATCAATATTGGAAAGAGCAATGTTTTGTTCCTTAACAGGCAGGTGAGGTTTTTAATCAGAAAACATTAATTGTCTTCTTTCATTGTTTTTTCTCTCTTCCCCTTCCTCTGGCTCTCGAGTTCTGCTTTTGTTTCACAAGAAGGTTCTATGTGGTATATTAATAGTATAATTACAGTTAGCAATCTACATGTTCTCTTCTCTAAATAAAATGAAATTGCATTTTTAAAGTTTCATTTCCCCATTCTTCTTTCTTGCAGCAACTGTTTTCCTTGGGGCAGGCTGGAGAGGGAGACAGGGGAAGACTCTATATGACTGGCTTCGCATGCAGTGTGTGTAATAAATGCATATTTTTGTGCACAGCTTTCCACAAGCTCACCTGCCTGTTAAGGAACAAAACATTGCTCTTTCCAATATTGATACCACATACCTTAAATGTATTCATAAGGGTCCAGTCTGAGAAGGGTGTGACTGATGATTAATTTATGTGCCATCAAGTTGGCATCAACTATTAGTGACCACAAAGACAGATTTTCTCCAGGACGATCTGTCCATAACCTGGTCCTTCAGGTCTTCCAAGGGTGGGCCCATCGCCACTGTAACTCAGTCCATCCATCTTGTTGCTGGTCATCCTCTTCTTCTCTTTCCTTCTACCTTTCCCAGAATTAGAGCCTTCTCCAGAGAGTTAGCATAATGTGTCCGAAGTAGGATAAATTGAGCCTGGTCATTTGTGCCTCGTGTGAGACCTCTGGGTTGATTTGTTCTGGGACACACTTGTTTTCTTGGCTGTCCACAGCATTCTCAGGAGTCTTCTCCAACACCAAAGTTCAAAAGCATGCATTCTCTTCCAATCCTGCTTCTTCAAAGTCCAGCTTTTGCTTCCATAGAGTGTCACAGGGAATACCATGGCTTGCACAATTCTGATCTTGAGACTGGTATAATAGAAGTGAAAAGTTGTGCATCCTTGTGGATGCAAACATAAAACATTATTTACTAACTCTACATTTTATTTTAATGAAGCAAAGTACAGACTTATGTTGCCTCTAATACAGCCATAATTAGTGATAATCATTGTAATTATCTTAACAAGGTCATCACAGCTTAAGAACAACATAAAGACTAATTTATTTATTATGTCATAAAATTCATGAAATATTTCACTAGATGAAAGAGATTTCAGGCTTGACAGATTTATTTCGTTTACTTTATTTTACTACAAGTCCAAGATCCACTAGTCAGAATCAGGTACAAAAGGCATGCACATTGACCCAATGTTTAGCCATCTTTTGGCTAAAACAGCAAATGGCTGGGTTCACATATCGTATTAAGTTATAATGTAGTTTGCTTGGTTTTAGCTGAACCAACCATTCTGGTTTATAAATCATGATCTATAAACCACAAGGGCTGCATTTACACACCATTCTGTACTAAATAACCCAACAAACCACATCGTGTGTTAATGTGGATCTTGAGTTAAAGATCAGGGTACCTGTGAGCACATTTTGAACCTAGGAACTTATTTTCTGCATTTGAGATAAATTGAACTCATGCAAAGGGAAATATTGTTACACAATTGGCAGTCAGAAACAACTGCTGATCTATTGCATATCACACAAATTTATATACTTCAGTTCTACCTGCACCTGGTTTATTCCATGAAAGTGTATGCTGGAATAAATTTAAGGGAAACAAGTATCATTCTACTTCTGGAAAGATCATGTGAATCAGTGATAATTATCACGGTTAAGGTATCTTCACGCAACCTTGGAAGCATGGGTTTATGATGCTTAAATAGCCAAAACTAATTCAGTCAAGAAGCAAAGAATCTCAGGAAGTTATATACCAGGAATGAAGTTTAGGTAACATTTAACTTAACTTTAGCTTAAGGTGGGTGCAGTTATGGTCTCAATGGGCAGAAGAAAGGTGTAAGTATATTGAATATCGTAAGTGTGTAGCAAGTTTGAGGTAGTCCGACCTCTGTATCAAACAAAAACCCTCCTCTGAATCTACATTTTCTGGCTTCCATCCTCCAGAAAAAGCAAACATTGAAAAATAACTCCAAGATTATAGCTGCAAAAGTAGGTTGAAAAAGGAAATGTATGGGGAGAAAGTGAAACATGCAGAAATGTTTTTCAGATACCTCACTCCACTTTTCCTCTCATTCCTCCAAGATATAAAAAAAAAGTTCATAATGAACAGAGAAAAAATAGTGAAGTGCTAAAAATTCCCCAGAACTGACCCCCTTTGATTGCTTCCACACCCCAGTATAATAAAATGAATATAAATTAATTTCCTCACTGTATTCTACAGTGTACAGCTTCTACTCTTTGCTGCCAAGCCTTCGATCCTGGTATTTATAAATTCATGTTCAAATACTTGTGTGATCAAGAACGTACAAAAGCAGTTCCAATAACATATGATTGATTTGCTGCCACAGAATTATATGTCTCTTCCTCTGGAAATCATCCATTTTTTGCTGCTGTGAATGGTTACTAAAGGGGACTTTTGCACACATACATTTCAGATAGAATTGCCAGAGTGTAATTGTGTACAGTATGTGATAACCATTTTGCATTTCTTTTCCCTCCCTTTTATCATGGATGTCAAGATCCTAGATGTTGCTGATTTACAACTCCCATTCGCAGTCTTCAATGAAAGTTGTAGCATAGCTACATCTACAGGGTCATAGGCTTAGCATCACAGCTCTACGCTACTTTTCCTGCTGTTCTCATTCACATCATATATAAGTTCACACACAAAGACACCAACTGATAATACTTCATGGAAGTGCCCTTTATGAAAACAGACCACCTCATAGCATTGTTAGTCATTTAGACCAGTGTTTCTCAACTTTTTTTTCCTCTGTGGCCCCCTTCTGACCATGTTTTTCTCCTGTGGCCCCCTGTCCGGGTCCCATTACTGGATACATAGGACTATAACTGGTGCATTTTCTGGTGTGAACAAGACATTATTTGCAGTATAATACAGTTTGCTTTTCTGTGGCCCCTTTGGGAAATATCTTAGGACCTCCAGGGGGCCATACGGCCTCTGATTAAGAACCACTGTTTAGACAATTTTCAACAATAAAGAGGGTTTTGCTGCAACAGACTGTAAAAGCTACAGCAAACTACAGTACTTTTGATGTGAGCTCTGCCATCCCGTGACTCTGATGACTACCACTTTCAGCTCAACCAGTGCTGTAGCATCTTATCTAGGGTCAACAGTGCCGGGCTGGCACACTTTGTTCCTGAACAGATTGAACTGAGTAATGGTTGAAGTCAACAGCATGCAAAATACCTGAATGTGGGGAGGGAGGCCTCGCAGCAGCCAGTGATAGGCATTGCCTGCCACAGTAGCCAAGTGGACAAAATCTGCAGCTAACAGAATTGTCGCTGTAATCTGAGGAAGGTTCCTGCGTCTCTATGTGCCGTTTTCTTTTAATTACACTGTCAAGATTTTTTTCCAGCTGTTCAATCAAATCTTCAACAGAATGAAAAACATGATTATGGTCAGCAACTTTATTGGGCATAAACTCTTGCGGACCACGGTCCATTTCATCCAACATGGAATATAATCCTGAGAAAGGCGTAGACGAGCAACATGGATTTGTTGGTGACCCAGTTTCTTCAGCATTGCGGTTTGACGGGTTATGTGTCTTAATCCGTTTTGGTATTTGATACTTTTTGTTTTGTGGTTGCATTAATCCACTACACAAATGCTCGATACAAAAGGGGAGCTTCCTTCCCCGCGGAAATACTTCACTTTTTGCAATTAGTTTCCACCTTTTTTAGAAAGTATAGAAAAAATATTTAGGTTTTGTGTCTCAACTATTGACTGTGATTCTGTTTTCACACTGATTCCCTGCTAGGCTTCGTCCTCGCAGTTCTGTAACACTTACTTGGAAGCAAACTTCAATGAAATGAGTATTACTTACTTCCAAGTAAGCACCATAGGTATATTCTTCCTCTTTCTACGTTCTCCTCCGGATTTCCACACGAAATAACAACTTTTTAGAGAATATTACTATGAACCGCGACCACGTCTCAAAAGCTTCATTTTTTGAAGTCAAGCCACGGTGTCCTCCACAGCAAATGCGGGGTCGGAAGTAAACCAAACAGCCTGCCTTGATCAACAAGAACTACAATTCCCAGGAGGCTTTAAAAGACCACGTCCTACGTTCAGTCAAAAAAAAAAAGATCCGGAAGAGAAATGGACAGAGGTTTTTTTTTTTTGCGGCGAAGTCTAAGGACGCATGCGCAAAATAAAGCCAGTGCGCTTACGGGGCGGGTAATTGACTCCGTGAATTGCGCATGCGTCAGCATCCGACTACTCAGTGCGCACGCGCTAAGATCCTAGCTGCGGGAAGCTAACTTTGCAGGTTTTCTGCATCATTTTTAGGCGCGCGTACCGCCTTTATTTATTTATTTATTTATTTATTTATTCATCTTTTATTGAACTTGCGTCAAGCGCTGGTCTGCCACTACCGGTACGGGCTTAAAACGGTAGGGGATAAAGTGCTTGTTGCGGTGATGGGAACTTACCGGAATAAGGGGTGGAGAGGCTTTTGCATGCGCATGCGCATCCAGCTGTCTATAATTGTGTTGTCGCCCCCTACCGGTTCTCTTTGCATGTTAAAGATTTGCTCTGTGCTGCGGCGCGTGCTCGATCGGGTTCATTGTAGTGCAACTTCTTTCGATCAAGGCATTATGAGAGTGAGAATCTGTATCTTAAAAAAAGGAATAAAAGAGTTGATTTGAATGGGAATGCCAGCTACTCCTGTTTTCTTCGGGTGTAAGAAGTAAAAGGTCATTTACATTCTTTCAAAGTAGCACATTTTTAACAAGTATATAAACCAGAGTTGCCTGAACGCATCTCACGTTGTAAACGTCAGTATTAGGTTTGCAAAGAATAGTTTGAAGAGGCCCGTGCATTACTTACATTCCAGAGGGATGGCCTTTTCGGCCTGTAGGAATGTAATCCTGCTTCTCTTAAGAGCTCTTAGGCCAGCCGTGGTGGGATGCTCGCTTGCTAAGGAGTGTTTCGGTTCTACTTCGTTCATGCCAAGTAGACAACAGTTCTCTGGGTGCAGTTTAATAAAAACTCAGCTAAAAACAAATACAGAAATTAAAACGACCGATTTAAAATAGCATACTCTGCTTTTAAATTAAAATATACAACTCATATCTGCTGAAAAAATATCTCAGAAAATAAGTACATTCAGTTCAGATCACTCTATAAATATAAACACAGGAATACACCGGGAAGCTGGTCCCAAAGCTAATTTGCCTAATAAAGGTTGATAGAAACTTTCTCAAATTCTAGACGTACTTATAGATGGACTTTAATAAACGTTTTGTTTTGCTGTATTTATACTCAACATCTTCACTATTCTGCAGATTAAAGTTGTTTCTTCCCCTGCTACAGGAAAAAACCATTATTTTACTACTTCATTGTGAACACTTACTTGTGTTGAACATAGGATATGCTAAGAGTATTCCTCTCTTTATTAATGTTTTAAGATTTAGCGGTACAGTCTAGAATGTTATAATGGTCATTGATTTGAGAGAAATTCCTTTCACCCTCCCTACATTTCCTTCAGGAACATGGCTTTGGTATCAGCTGATTCCAGGATTGCTGAACTCCTAGGAGAATTGCACCAGCTTATCAAACAGACCCAGGTAATCTGATGGCTTTTCTGGAATATTTGGGCCTGTGTTTTATTTATTTATTTATAAATCAAACTCGTAAGCTCCCCATCTCACTATACAAGTGACTGTAGGCAGCTCACACATAAAAAGCATAAAAACAGTTAAAAGCACAAAATAAAGTTAAAAAGACTACAAATGGAGTTAAAAATGCAACAGGAAGCCTACTCAGCTTGTCATGGGCCATGGTGAGAAAAGGAGAAGGCTTTCCTTCTGCTTTTCTGGACAGGGAGGGTATCTTTTCATTTATGTCCACCATCTTGTTTTAGTAATGCACCAAAGAGTCTGTATAATAATGATGACAGGAGGGCAGGAAATTGGTGTGGTATGGCAACTTCAAGGAGCACATCCTGTGTGCTCAAATAGAAATCACATTGTCAAAAAAAATACCTAGAAACTCTTTTGTTGCTAGGAGGAACGATCAAGAAGTGAACATAATCTTGTGAATATCCAGAAAACACATGAAAGGATGCAGACAGAGAACAAGAGTGAGTAGAAACTGCCAGCCTTTTAACACCTTCCCTAGAAATCCTTTGTGAGGCAACATTTTGAGTCGGCCCCATTCCCCAGCTGCTGGAGAAAGTCAACTGGGCCAGTGTATTGAACTTCCATTACTCTTTAACAACTGACAACAATGGCAATGGCCGTGGTTGTTCTGAAGCCTGTAGACCAGTGTTTCTCAAACTTTGGGAAACTAAAAAATTTTGGGGTCTAACACCCCAA